TCACGAAAGGAGCAAAGATTTGGAATTCAGCTAAACCAGGATGTGAATCCACCTGTACTGGTTACCAGCTGTGTGACCTTGGACGTGTCACTTAACCTCTCTGGGGTTTAGCGTGCCAATTGGGAAATGGGGGGGTCATACTGGGCTTACATGGTTATTATCAGGATAAATGAACTAACATGTGTAACGTTTCTTGTACAGTGTCTCTCATCTTGTGGGCCTTCAATAAATATAGTTACTATTAGTTTTTCATCCTAGAATTTCCTATTTTGTGACCCTATCATGGACTGTCCGACACAGACCCTGTACAAGACATATCGTATATAGACATGATATATACATACATGACACAAAGATGACATGTATATGATGCAGGGCATACATTAGACAGCAGGAAGGAATTACAGGAGGTCAAGTCCATTCAGTAAGTGTTATTACGTGGCATCTATTAGACGCTCACACCTGCCATTCTGTGCAATCCCTACCTTGGGGTCTTGTTTGTAAACAACTCCAGAGATGACAAAAGTTCCTCTATTCGCCTTACTTCAGGGCTTACTCTTCTGACAAGGCCGAAATGACCTAACCCAATATCCCTGCACTGAATTGACTACGAGACAACCAAAGTATAAGCGTCTGCCAACACCTACAGCGGGTTCTGTCCATAAAGATTTGCGGCACTTAGAAGAATTTTAGTAATGCTGTACGCAGTAGCTGAGGACAGTGCGTTTACAAAAGGTTTCATTAAGACTCATGAAGTTTATTAATACACGGTTGACTTTTCAGTTTACATTTAGTTAAATTTACTTTAAATGTAAAAGAATTGGATGAAAATGATCCTGTGGTCACTGGCTATTGTCAAAGCCAGACTATTCTGGTTATACGAGATTTGTTTCATCAACACACTGGAAAGAAGGAGGAGAAAATTAAAATTCAAAAGAAAACATGATCTACGTCCCTGTGTTCTGATATGAGGACGCAGCAGACACCGTTGGCTGCGTCCCCAACACATTTCCCCTCTCCCTTGTCCGGGCTGTCCTTCCTTTTATGACTCCAACGCCGGCAGGCAGACCCTAAGTGGTCCAGCCTAGTTTGGTACCCTCCAGCCTCCCGCCAGGGATTGGACGTGTGACCTGCTCTGAGCGTGTGACCTGCTCTGGCCAATGAGATGAGAAGGGAGTTGCGTACGGGGGTGCTTCTGGGAAAGGTCTCCTGACTTTGCGGAAGGGCACCCCGGAAACGTAAGTCCCTTTTTGCCCCTGGATACTGCTAGATCTGCGCAGGATGCCTGGAGCTGCTGCGAGCACCGCGGAGCTGGCTTTGGGATGGACCCTACACAGGACGTAGAGCCGCGCGAGCGAGAGAGAGGCGGAGCCAGCGACCCAGGGCTCCCTGCCCAGAGCCCACCCTACCTACAGGCTTTCTGCGACAGAGGTTAACAGGTTGCGAGGCAACAGATCGCTTTGTTTACGCGCAGCAAGGGGCCGAGGATTCTGTTACTCGCGGCCAAAGCACCCGGTGGAAACAGGACACACGTGAGCTCCTGGACCTGGAGAAAGTGAACGAGCAAACCAGCCGAGCGGGCAGTACCTGCTCCTGTGATTCCAGTTCCTTGTGCTGCAGTTTTTTCTCCAAACATCGTGCTTGATTCGAGCGCTTTTCTAGCTCGTCTTGTAAAGCCTGAAACGGTATGAGATAAATACGAAAACATTAAAAATGAGCAGCCTTGGAAAAAGCTTTACCACCTGAACTGGTATCAAAAAGGCCTCAGCTCTGGTCTATTACTGCGGCTCCAAAACCAGCCTTTTCGTTTCAGGCCCAGATGTTTTCTACTTTAGGAATAACTAGTATCAAAAACTCCAGACTCACACACCAGACACATTAGCAGGTGTCAATGCATCTTATAAAAACATCTCCTGTTCCCAGCATAGACACACAAGCACGCAATAAAGTGTAGAACTATTGCTAATTAAAGTAGCCCTATCAGGACACCTGCGAGGTACACCCACACTCTGAAAAGTGTCCTGGTAGCTAGGAATCGTAACACTGGACCGACATGACATTGTTCAGAATTATGCTCTGGTCATTGGAGTATGTTATGGTAACCTTAAAGGCATTTTTTATTAAGCCGTCGAGGATGGCATGGAATTTGAGGAAACTGAAAGAAATAGACAGAGATGAACACTTTCAGTTGCCAAGTAGCTGTTGGAAATCAAATTCAGGTTCAGGCTGGGGGAAGCCGGGAATGGAAAGATCAGTAAATATCATTGTATCCATTACTACTTTAAGTAAAGAGGTGAACTAGAAAAGAAACAGGATCCATTCAAACAATCTGATGTTAATTATAGATATAGCACGTGGGAAATGACGGTGAACAGAACACACTCTCAAAGAGTGACTGCAAAGATGCTAAACGAATTCTCAAAATAAAATTCATTCAATTAAGACTCCTGAGTTTCTGCTCTAGGCGAAGGACTGTGACACGTATTCCAAATAAAGCGGTGAAAGAAAACAGACGAAACACATTCCCTGCTCTCACGGAGCTTCTGCTGTACTGGGGCAGACAATAAGCAAACGGGGAGCATGATATATGTCAGTGGTAAGTGCGGAGGGAAAATACTGCAGGGAAGGAGGCTATCCTGGAACGCGGTGAGGAGGGGTGCTGCAGTCTTAAACAGCTGGCCCAAGACAACCTAACTGAGCCAAACCTGAAGGAGAAGAGCGAGCAGGTCACAGAGACACGTGCAGGAAGAACCTTCCAGGCAGGGACCCCTGCACACACCGGGGGTCGAGTCACTTCAGGTCCCGTGAAGCCTCAGAGGGCACTTGAGGACTTCAGGCTTTATTCGAGGTAGACGGGGGCTCCTGGAGGGCTGTGGGCAGGGTTGCTTTGGTTGCCGTGAAACACAGATGGAAGAGGGACACGGGCAGAGGCAGAGACGCAGGGTCGAGGCCGTGAAAACACACCGGGAAAGGGTGGTGGAGAACTGGACCAGCCGGGGGCGAGGCAGCGGCAGCTTCCCAGTCTATCTGAAGATAGAGATCGCAACTCCAGGGAAAGGACGCAGAGCATGAAAAGTAAAAAAAGAGAAGAGACTCCGGGATTCTGGCTTGAGCAGGTAGAAGACTGCAGCTGGGGAGGTTCGGGACGGGAGGGACCGGTGTGGGGGAGAAGGTCGGAGCTCAGCCTGCGGTATGTCGAGTGCGGGATGCCTGTTCCACATCCAAGCTGGGATGCTGGGCAGCAGCTGGGGGAAGAGTCTGCAGTTCAGACACGATGTCTCGGTTTGTATCCACTAAAAATTCTTTCAATGCAATTCCAGCCTTTTCTCCATGCAGACAGAGACCGTGGTTCTTACCTTTTTCTGGAGTTCTAGCTCCACTGGAGCGTCTGGCAAATGCCGTGTGGTCACTCCCCACGTGGAAAACAGTGCTTATTATTTTGCCTGTGATTTCAGGGAGTCCAGTTGCCTGAAGCCTGTCCCTGGATGGACCCCAGGCTAAGAACCTCTATTTATGAGTATAGGGCTTCCCTGGTGGCTCAGTGGTTGAGAGTCCGCCTGCCGATGCAGGGGACGCGGGTTCGTGCCCCGGTCCGGGAGGATCCCACATGCTGCAGAGCGGCTGGGCCCGTGAGCCATGGCTGCTGAGCCTGTGTGTCCGAAGCCTGTGCTCCGCAACGGGAGAGGCCACGACAGTGAGAGGCCCGCGTACCACAAAAAAAAAACAAACAAAAAAACTCAAAAAAAAAAAACAGTTTAAAAAATGGAAAGTAACCAAGTAATATCCCACTTTCCAAAAAGTGAAAATGTATCAGACTAAAGGAAAAGGACAGCTGTTCCTGGACTCATATTCTAAAAAGTTATTAGGTCATGAGATGTTCATCCTCAGTTTGCCAGAGGCCTGTATGAACACAACCACAACTACTGAGCGAGCACAAGAAGGACCTTTCTTTTAAGTTGTGGCTTCTTTATTCAAAAACCTTCCAATTTGACAGTTGACACACCCACAAAACAGAACTTTTACTTTATTCCTGAGAAAAGCCCAAGACCATTAAAGAATGGAATGTCCAACACTGGGTCAAAAATCTAAAACAAAGTCCAACTTGAACGGCTATGCTGTTTATTCTGCACAAGCAGGCCCCGCCTCAGCTCTGCTGTGTGAACTTGCACCACTCCTGAAAGACAGTTCTTTTCTCCCAGTTAAACCTGCCTTTAAATGCCATGCAAGTGGGCTTGCTGGGCCTGGCCACCCTCAGCTGGCTCTCAGAGAACTTCGTGGGGACTGTGAACAAAGAATGACATTTTCCAGAAGAAAAACATACATGACATAAGCAGCTCTACAAGAACAACGAGGGCAGGCCACACTCTTTAAAAGGGAGCCGGTTATAGGATAATTTGATTTGTTTATTTAAAATATGAAAGTAGTGAGAGCACATTAAAGTGTAAAAGATTTGACAGTTTCATGGACTCTCCAGGGTGAGGAGAAGCCAGGGTAGCTAATGTGCCCAGAGGGGCACCTGTGATGGTCCCAGAGCTCTGCTGTTCGTCGGAGAAAGAGTATTATAGTCAACGCTATTTCCATAAAACTTATAAACATGGTTCGAGGCCAGCTGCTCAACTCGTAAAGCCACTCATTAAGGACTTCTAAAAACCAAAGTATCGGGGCTTCCCTGGTGGCGCAGTGGTTAAGAATCCGCCTGCCAATGCAGGGGACGCGGGTTCGAGCCCTGGTCCTGGAAGATCCCACATGCCGCGGAACGACTTAGCCCATGCGCCACAACTACTGAGCCTGCGCTCTAGAGCCCGCGAGTCACAACTACTGAGCCCACGTGCCTAGAGCCCGTGCTTCCCAAGAGAAGCCACCGCCATGGGAAGCCCACGCACCGCAACGAAGAGTAGCACCCGCTCACCACAACTAGAAAAAGCCCGCATGCAGCAACGAAGACCCAAGGCAGCCAAAACAAAACAAAACACCGAAGTATCTCTCATAGGCCTTAAACAAACATGAAATGATGGCAGATACATGCCTTTTAATAATGGACACATGAAATGCAAGTTCGTTTGAATTATAAGTGGTTAAAAAGTTATTTAATACAGGAAAACTTCATTGGAAAGGAGAAAGACTGGGCTGTAATGATACACAAGATATAGTCAGAGCGTCCCTAGTGTACAAGGCATGACAGAGGCTTTCAGACTTAGGATTTAGCACAAGTTTTTCTAGAGATTTCTGACCTTGTCTTTGGCCAAACTCTCAGCCAGGTCCTCCCCTCATCTGAGGGTGGGACTGGGGGGTGGGCGTCCATCTGGCCGGCCGAGCACGCAGACTTGTCTCATAACCCGGGACACCTGCACTGCAGGGTCTCACCAGACGGCATGATCTCAAACTCCCCACTTTCCCATCTTTACCAAAAACCTCAGTTGTGAGAAATGTGGAAAAATCCACTTGCAGATCAAAACAGAATCAGTAGCACAGAAGTCACCTTTCTCCTGAATCACACATTCTACAGAACTGTGCCCTCCACTTTTTAGGAGTTTTCAGACCGGTTCTCACTGACTTGAGATTTGGTGTGTCTTCCGTGCACCCTGCCTCATTCTGTGTTGCCAGGTCGTGGCTCACGCTTGTGTCTGGCTTGGTCACAAGTCACCACGAGGTCGGCGGTACATCTTCTGGGCCAGCCATCCGTATGAGGGCCGAAGCGTAAACGGCTCCTTCCCTGAGTGCTGGCCCATAGAACGTGTTCTCCCCGAAGTGGGACCTTTGAATGATGCAGGTTCTTTTATTTGAAGGGACTGGATTAAATCAGATGTAAGCGAAAAAGATTGCGGATGAAGTTTTGCCCTATTTAAGTATAAAACTGGGGTTCTCAAAGTCGTTGATTTTGCGTTAAGTCTGTGGTCATGAATCAAGGAGGCCGACGAACCTCTGCTGGGTGAGACACAGGAGGGGCCTCACCAGCGGCAACTCGCGTAGCCAAGGAGATGAGCAAGGAAGGAAAGCAGAGCGTATGAAAGACACTGCCAAGAAGGAGTCAGTCCCGCAAACTGTTAAAAACTGGTGAAGCCAGGTGGTGGGTAGATGGGGATTCTGCATATTATTCTCCCTACTTCTGCGTATGTTTGAAAGTTTCCATAATAAAGAAAAAAAGAATTTTTAAAGCTTTTTCTAGTTAAAAAACATGAAGTCACCATATCCTTCCTTTCATGAGGTTTGAATTTACTGTTTTACTTCAGAAAAAACAGATGATTCATTCGTCCTTCAGTGAGTAGGCGGGATGTGTAAGGATTTCCCCATGTATATTTTGGAAGCAGGGAGTGGGGTGTTCATATTTTGACCTCAGGAGAAGATAACAGGAAAGGGAAGGCTTACTTATATTTTTATTGAGATACAATTTACTTATGGTAAAACTCTAAAATTTCTTAAAAAAATGGTGATGGTCTGTTTTCCATTTAAAACATGTAATATGATTTAAAAGTTTGTGTCATAAAATATCTGTTCAGATAATAAAATCTTGCTTATAAACCATCTTCCACTGATTGGTTTATCCATCAAACCGAAATGACACCCGACCTGTGACTACAGTGAAGAGACACAAATTATGAAAGGGAAGGAAGCAGAACTCTCATTTAAACCTTAACTGCCTTTTAAACAATGCCCAAGGTTACAAATGGTGCTGACAATATTTCTGATCAGTAGGTTTCCTTTGACAGGTAAATTGACACAGAAACAGCAAATGCTTTTCTTTCTACTACTGCTAACCGAAAAGTAAGGGAAAATTAAATAAAACAATAAAATCTCATTACTTTTCTTTAAAAAAATCACATCTTAAACAATTGGGATCCAGCAAAAAGCCCAAGCCCTGTGCCCCAGATGAGGAGACACAAATCTGGGGTTAGGGGAGGTGACACAAGAGCAGCGAGTGGCGTTTTGACTGGGGGGCCTTGCTGGCTGTTTACACGGGCCCCTGTGACTCCTTTTTTCATTTTATTTTATTTTTAAGTAGGCTAAACCTACTAACAAAAGCAACAAGTCTTCTTCAGCTGAAATGCCGGTCAAGATTTCTTTTAAAGTGATTTCTTCAGACCTACCCAGGATAAATAACAAACCGTAAAAACGTTTTTTTAGTGATTCTGTGGAACCGAGAACAGGTTTGTGCTCTAGAGGTAAAGTTACTGAACTAGAACCAGTTACTGCCGAGGCCACTAACATATTCAAAACACAATAGTATAATTTTTTTCCTTTAAGGCTTCCATTCAGGCTTTTAATTTTTTCACGCTCCATGCAAGTACCTTTTTTTTTTTTTTTAACCCTCATAAGTCAGCCTCTCGTGGTACTGGTATGAAGAAAAGGGGTTTTAATGCCTATGATACTCTTCACATGAGGCAAAATTCCTTTCCGGTGAAAACTTTTTAGTTGTTGCAACAAACCGCAGGAATGAGAAATTGCACTTTGATATGAGCGATTTTATAGTATTTATTAGGCTACTGATTCAACAGAAAAGGCAAAAATATTGCAGCCAATATAAAAAACAAGAGTAGCACTTTCACCAAAGAATACGAAAGTTTTCGCTTTCCCTCTCTTTTCTTCTCTCTCTCACCTACTTTCAGGCCTTTAAAATTTCCTAAAAACCTTCCTTTAAAAGTCTTAAAACTGCACTTTTTTAAAAGTTAGTGTTTCCCAGTCTTCACAGAGGTTCCAGGAAAAGAAATCACGTTATTCCAAAACTTGGATGATCTAAGGAAGCTGGAAGGTCCTAACACACCTCGTTAATGTTCCCCAGTCACACAGAGACCGTCCTGACATCACCCACGTCTCCTCTGGGAGTGGTCAGTGCATCTGTACTCAGGAAATTCAAAGCACATTTGCCCTACTGCGTCCCTCCAGACAGCTTCACTTGCGAACACATTCTTATCTCGGGTGGTAGGAATCTAGGATCAAGTTCAAGAAGCCCGGCTACGATGTTTCAGGATCTCAGAGGAATTTCCTCATTCAGCCTGTGTGATAAGCATTTGCACTGCAGTCAGTCTCTGCAGAACAGAGGCCGCCCCTCCTCTGCGTGAGCCCAGGGAATGCGGAGCGCCCGTAAGTCACTGGTTTAAATTTTTACTTACTTACATGTCTAATCGTTCACACGTGCAGCCCCCCGAGCCTGCAGCATCATTCCAACCCCTGCCAACAGACGTGAATTTCTACCCTGTTGAACCTGAAGTCGTATTTCTCACTAAGTCAGTATGTCCCCTATATGATAACGTATTTATGAATTGTGAATTCATCTGACTTCCCCCCTGCATCTTAGACTATGAGCTTCACAAGGGTAACACTCCTGCCCATATTTTTAAAGTAATCTCTGAAATGCTTAGTAAAGTGTTGGGACTATGGTAATAGTAGTTACTGGTGACATGAACCACTTATATAAAGAACAAGCTGCTTTTCATTGGAAACAGTTGGGGTGTTCCTGCTAAAACGTCTCCAGATTTCACTCCCCCCCTCAAATTACGTAACTACCTTTCCTTACTGTGTCCCTAGCTAAAAATGTCTGAGGTTTACCCAGTCTGCTCCCTCAACTGTCCAAGGGGTGTCCCTTCTTGTTTCCTCAAGGGAGGGCATCCATCAGTGCCCTCATTTCTCTTTTCAAGTTCTAAGGGGTTGGTCACAACTAGCGGACATTTAGTCCTGTCCAAAATGGCCATTGAGACGTTGGTCCAGGCCCAAAGGTCCTTGGTGTTTGCGCCTATCAAAACGTCCACTGGATTCAAACAGCCCGTTACATTTCTTTATACTTTGGTTAATAGAATAAATGTATTAAAGATACTACCATGTTTTCTTGGTCCAATAATTGTGCTGTGGCTGCAGCTGCCAACGATAACCCCCCTGCCTCGGTGGCCGGGCACAGGGGTAGGTAGACGGGCTGGGGTCCAACTCCTACAGAATTGCGGGGTTCGTATTAAGTATGTGCACCAAGAGGAGACCTAAAGCTAGAGAAACGTGCAGAGGATGGCAAGTCGGGGCTGGGATCTCGCGGTGCATGGTGTGTGGACACGTCGCCGGGCATCTGGTGGAGGGTGGAGTTTGAAGGGAGGAGCCTGGCCCAGCCTCCATGTAACACGGGCAGTGACAGAGCACTGGCTCTGGAGGAGCGAGGACAGGCGTGCTCTCCTGATACACGGCAGTCGCGTGTGACAGCCACCGTGAGGGGACACCAGGCATCTGATTAACCCTCCCACCGCTGCCCCATTGCCAGGGGTTAACGGGAGATGTTCTCTTGAATCAGCGTCCTGTAGGTGGACCATCCTGGTGGGCCACAAGAAGCACCTGCTGCTCTCTGGAGGGGTTTCAGTGGGTGTGACCCCCATACGTACCTGCTAGTCAGCGTGGGCCGCCGTGCCCTCAGCCGCTGCCCAGCTACCGGCTGACCCAGCCCAGCCAAATGGGGTGTGGAATCCCTCAGACATTAGTAAGGTTCCCCTACCAGTAAACCAGTCATCACTGGTCAGATGGCTACAAAAGAAAAAATGTAGCCCTTCTTCTGCTGCTTGGCAATATAACACCTTTATCTGGAAGTTCTCAGGGGAATGTGGCAGCAATAGTATACTCACAAAAAGAAAAGCCAGCGCTACGCGATGCTGGTTTCTGTTACCGTTTCCACTTTTATAACAGGAAGAGGAGTAAAAGGCACTGACACCACGAAGAGGTGGGGCTCTGCAGTGCCTGATGGACGACTAGTTGGGATCTGGATAAATGACAATCATTCAGACGGGACCAGAAAGCATCCGCACAAGGTGGACGCTGAAGGGGAGATAAGGAAACCCGACAGGTTAAAATGACATGCAGAGAAGAATCAAACTCAAAGCCATGGAAGAACTCTCTCCGTGATATGCGTGATGAAGGAGTCCTGACGATGCTGGCAGAAAGAACTCACTGAAGAGGCAAGTCAACCCAATGTCATCGCATGGAATTGAAATTCCAGATGAGTATAAAGGGACCAGATGCAGAAGACCATTTCCTGGGGACGATTCAGGTGCTCAAGACAATGAAAGAATTCTTATTTGCACGGCTTGTGACACTGTTCGCTACTTAGGTGCCAGGCACACTATTCAGTGACAACACCTTCAAGCGGCACCGACACAGGTCACGCACGTATGGACTGTGAGCTGCTGTGTGATGCTACACTGTGCCTCTGATGGACCCTTTAACCGTGAACTGGCAAAAGTGCACTTACGAATACATACACGAGAACACACTTGCATTTGCACAGGGAAGAAGGCTCAGCATTAACCCTTCATTGTGCAGACGGGTTTCAAGATGCAACCATGACTGCAATTCAACTACTCAACCTAACGCAGTTGTACGAGGATGCCTGTTTCACTTTTCACAATCACTGTGGCGAAAAATACCTTCTTTGGGTCTAACATGGGGGTGTATGACAACGGAAAGTAACACCTGTACACCTGTAAGCGTGCATGCGTGCTGTTTAAACTTCCATTTGTGCCTTTGGAAGATGAAAATGACACTTTGGAGTACGCTGTGGAGAAGGCAGAAGAAAAATCAGATGACCAAATAGGTCGTGTTGAGGGTGTATGTCCGTGGAAGGACTGGCAGGGCAGAAGACCAGATGCCCCAAGAGTGCAGCAGAAACCTGGAACGCTCACACGTCAGCACTAAACGGTGATCACAGGACAGACAGCCCAGCAGAAGCTGGCACGGCACATCTCAGCAGCTGGTGGTAGCGCATCACCCTTCCAGTGGAGATTTACTGAAGCGCTAACAGACAAATGGCAAAGTCGCGACAAGTTGTCACCCAGGTTCCTGGTGGTCACACTCAAGTACAGCTCCAGCTTCACAACAACACTGACAAGATCAAATTCATACAACCGAAACTGTACACGATATTATGTAACACATACAACGCCAACAGTCGGGTCCATATGTACTTGAGAGTAATTGCTCATCCGCTTAAGAGTAACCCTGCTGATTCATGGTGAGGAAGAACAACAATAAAAGGAAAATCCAAAATCCACCACGAATGACAATAAAAATAACGTCAATAAAATTTTAACTAGGTTAAATGTTTGTATTATTTAGTGAATCGTGGACCCAGTGGCCGTTCTGGACAGGACCACGTGCCCTGCAAGGCCCGGCCACACTGCTGACCCCTCCCTTTCTGCCCAGCCTCTCTCGGCGTCTCGTCTCTCCCCGCTGCCCGCTGGAAACTGGTCCCCTTGCGCACGTTGTTCGGGGGAACGACGTCGGCTCTGGGGAGACACTCTTCAGGCCCCTTCAGTCCTGATGCTCCTTTTTCCCATGACGGCCACGTTTCTCAAGCATTTTACTCCGT